TGACTTCACCACAGGTTTCACCCTTTTATTACTGGGCTCCTAAAGTGAAATCAACATTAAAAACATACATTTCCAGCTTTTAATATTTAGACAAAATGGTCCACAAGCTTATCACAGTGCCATTATTCAAACCTTTACAGGTTGTGCATTAGATTAATTTAAAATCACGTAACACACATCTGGCACCTGCACAGGAAGAACACCTTACCTCTGAATCCCTCATGTGCTCAGACATCATCTCATCATCCTCATCTTCCTCTTCATCCTGATAATGCATAACAGGTCACACAAAGGCTCAAAGTGAATTGAGAAATACATGACAGTGTTCAGGAAAGAGAGAGATGTCGAGAGGGGTGAGATGTTGCATGGTGCAGATCTCTCATTTCCTGTGTGACTCTTTCAAAGAGGAAGAAGGTTGAAGCTGTGCTTCTATAGTAAATACAAGATGTCTGCCTGTTTTTGCCACACTAACCACATCAGCTGTAAATTCACTTAAGTGTCAGACTGAGATGTATTAAAATACCTACAGTAAAAAATGTATCTTTGTGTGCTTATGATACGCAAGATAAAGATTACATCAAAAGGGTCATCTGAAAAAAAAAAAAAGTGAAATAACAGTTGCTAAAATGTAACATACGTCCTATAATCAACATTAAATGGAATTCAGAGAACCTTCTCTTCTCAACCGCACAGCTGAACATGTTCTGAATCATAACTGTCAGCTCTCAGCATTGTGGTCACAAAGGTAAGGTTGACTAACTTCCGCTAGTTACAGAGAGACTTCAGAAGAGATGTAAGATGAAGAAGAGGCAGTTTAAATGGTGCGTGTCAGATATGCCTCACCTCGTTGATTCTGATCGCAGGTCCAGGTGCCGGGTCTTGTTTTCTCTTTTTCTATAAAAGCAGGAATGTATGTTAAATGAATATTATTGGTTTTAAGAAGAGTGCACATCTGGGTTTAGAATAAAATAATGGCCTTAAAAAAATGAATTAGATGTTGGGTGACTTACCCCGGCATTGTCACAGGGGATAGAGTGTGCCTCCCCTTGTGCTGTGGACCTTAAAAAAGGGCAGAACCAAACAGCCACTCAGTTATCTTCTTTAACCTGAGATACATCTCATCACTAACACACAACACTAAATAGCTGAGTAAGTCACAGTATCATATGCCTACTTGACTTATTTGGCAGATATGTGCTACAAGTTATATCAAAAGACATTGAAAGAAAGGTAACTGAACAATATCAACGGGTTAAGATTTGAAACCACAGATGAAGTCGACTGTAAAAAGGTATCATACCAGGAAGTCCTCGTTTCAACTGTCTCCTCCACTTCCATCTTGTCTTCAATGCATCTTCACAGAAACATTCCCAAAATGAGAAAGGTTCAAATAATCCAAATTCACTCCGGTCTCTTCTACGTTTGTGTAACTCTCAGCGAGTTGTTTGCAGGAAGCTTGTCAGAGTTAAGTGCACTCCTTCCTCTTCACTTTCTTCCTCATCTCGCACCCGACCACATCCTTTAGGGCTGCTCATTTTCATGCACCGGCTCGTCACAGAGGGTTTAAAATGTGACTTATTGAATATAATTTAATTTGGTTAACAAATAAATCACATTTTTTATAACTTTGTAGATCGAAGGGCCTGATTTAATCAAAACACTCAGTGACAATAGAGGAAGAGAGCAAACTCATAACAGAAAATATGAAGTGCTCTTTTTCAAAAGTTGAACTATAAACACGTTTATTTTTTTATTTCTTTCTATAAAAATGTGTGTATTAAAAACATTACGGTTTTTCATTTAAAATTCACAGGTAGTCATTTAGCTGATGTAGGCTGTGTTTCCGGGATATGACCTATAGTGAAACTTCTGATAAAGTGCCAGAAGCAGGTCACACAGCAAAAACACATTAATACCCGACACGTCACACACTAAAGACCTGCATTGCATTTGTTTTTATTTAAACCTCAGAAAAAGACAAACAACCAGAGAAAACCTTTTTTTGTACATGTTTATTCACTATCACACTAAGTGCTCTCATTTCAAGATACATCTCATTGCCTTGCTCTGATACTGTAAAGTCTTTTGGAGATAACAAAGTAGAAAGAAGACAATTAATTAATGATCAACAAGGTGTTTGCGCCCCCCCTGCCCAAAAATAATAATATAAATGAACACAACACATGAAAGATAAAGAGAAAAAGAAGAAAACTGATGTCATGTGCAAGAGCCTCAGAGTGCTAGATGAGGTGGCGTAGGGGCGCCTTAAACGACAAGGGTTCCTATTCTGCCGACTCCAGAGGAGAGGCTGTTGACTCAGGTTTAGCCGTGTCTTCAGGTGCTTCTACGGTTTCAAATGTAGGGTCTCGGGTAGAACTATGGGCAGTGATATGGTCAGGGGGAAATGGATTCTCAACACACAAATTGCTATTTTGGGGATTCTTGGCTGAACTTTTATTAAATGAGGTGCATCTTTAAAAAGAACAAAACCGAAACCTGGGACCAGGTCTACAAGACAGGGGTTTGAGGAGGGAAGAGAGCAAGTAGAGTGGAGGGGGGGTGTCAGTGGGCTGGATTAAAAGAGCCATCCTTTAGTGCTGAAGGCTATTAAATAGTGTTTCACAGGGACACTAGCTGGGCTATGGAGTACCAAGAGAACACTAAGGCTTAGAATTAAACTGAGCGGAGAGGTTCTGCTACTGAGAAACATCAAAAAGGTCCAGTATACATGCTCCTTTCCTCCAATGAGACGCCTAATCCTGCAGCCGAGCAACAAGTGGATCCCTAACACACAGACAAGTATCCATAAATCAGCTTACTGGGGTTATGTACACTCAGGCACAGGTTTACACAAACCACAGGCCCAAAAAAACAAACCGATTGATCCAATAGAGGTGACCTGGATCAACCACCCATTCTCCTCACTTAGAACACCCACCCTTTTCTCCCCCCTGCAACAACCACCCTCATGTGGGTGGGTTCAGTGTGGAGCTCAGCGGATGGTGTATCTGACATAGGGCACTTCCACGTCTTCGTCAGTGAGGTCGTTGCAGCACAGCTCAAACACAAGGGCTTTCACGTGCTTGCCCAGCTTCTTTTGGACACCTTGGTGACAATCTCCGTCATCCTAGAGGACACAGAAGAAAACCATTAGGACTACAACACTCACAATGTGAGTTTGTCTTGAGGTGCATCGAGACAGTATACTCACGGCAGGTCCAGTCTCTCTTTGAGTTTGGCAGCAGGCATGAAGAAGGAATACAGCATGGACACTCCTTGAGAAAGCATGGTGATCTCCAACTTGTGCTCAGTCTGACAAGAAGAGAAACAGAGGTTTCATTAAGGGTGCAACAGACACCACGAGGTGGTGAAGTGAAGAGGACTGGATGATGACGTACTTTAAAGTAATCCAGGAACTGTCTGAGTGTCATCTCCTCCCCGTTGGGCGGCAATCCTGTGACCTCGAAGCGATCCCACAACGTCCAATCAATTTCGTAGTACTGTAAGAACACCAAGAGTAATGGGTTAAGGCCAATCATGACACATCACACCACAAACAGCACCCAGTTAGAGGGGTAGAAGACACAATACAAACATCTAATAATTAGGGATGGGAATTTGAAAACAAATAAAACAAAGCGAATATCCGACCCCCAAAAAAACGGTTAACCGAAATGTACATATCCTAGAAAAAAAAAACAAACAAATAAATACATGTTCAAATAAGTACAGAAACCAAGTGGAATTTGTCAAATGTATTGAGCCGGTGATCACAGTTTGAACAGTTGCCAGCGATAGGCCTACAGCTTTCATGCTTAACATAACTTGGTTTTTAAATGAAAGAGGGATCATACACGAACAACATAACGGGTTACGGCCCGTCCACACGGCGGCGTGCGTTGAAGCTTCAAACGCTTCTGCCCATTCACTTTGAATGGGGTGACGTCACTTTTAGCTGAACTGCATTTTGGGAAGCGACGTGGAGCGTTGCTGGCGTTGCTGGCTTCAAAAGTTGAGCAATGTTCAACTTTTGACGACTCGACGGAGGCGTCAGCCAATGAAATCCCTTTATGCAAATCTGCCAGTACAAGCAGTAGCCAATCAAACCTGGGAGAGACTACGCAGGTCATTTCCTCATATTCAAAAAAATGGAGGGAAAATTCATTGTAGCGGTAGTGATCACCCGGTGCTGTATGATCAGTCTCTGTTCATCTACCGGGATACAAACCGGAGGAGCGAGGCATGGAGGGAGGTGGCAGAGACAGTGGGTGAATCTGGTAGGTTTTCGCCTGTTTGGGGATTTTATATCCAGTTTACTTCGTTTTAACATTGCTATTGCTTTGTATGTCGGGGGCGGGAGATTCATGTGATTGGTTGTTGGTCGCAAAAAATCCCCAAGCTTCAGATACGCCCACCTCCAAGCGTCAACGCACGCTGCTGTGTGGACGCTCCGTTAGGGTAACGTAACCCTATTACAGCAGAGAACAACCTATAACAGGGCTATGCACAGAATGCAGCTATTCAATACTCATTCTTGTTTAAGAATATGAGCATGTCTACTCAGGGGAGAGGCGGTGCGGAGGCCATTCACTATCAGGCCAGCTGTAGAGAAGACCCTCAGCTGGAATGTGGCCATAAGATGAGGTTTGAGTCTGCGTGTAGGGAGGGGCAGCAGCCATATCATTAGCTAGAACAAGCTAGATCTGATGGATTTGGACATAAACACGAGTGAAGTCTAACCGGACACCAGAGAGAGAGGGATCAGCACCTGCAGCTCTGCCCGCTGAGAGGGACCGGTGAGCGGAGCAACACACACCTTTAGACCTAACACACTTAGCTATGGCACTGTCGTATACATTGAATTATTCCATTTGATCATATGTAATCAACTTAGGCACCCCTCCAAAAAAATAAATATATATATTCATAACTCGTATTTGAACTCCTGAATAATTTCAAATATTCGATTAATCATTCCCATCCCTACTAATAATCCATATTCTCCTCAGCACACACTGAAACCATCAGCATGAGAAGGCAAGTCGCACTCATCACACCCAGGCAGGTGCATCAGTATTAGCATGGCTAGATCATCATTGGAGTTTAAAACATCTATTTACTGTTTGAATTGGTATATTAGTGGTTAAAAGATGCCACTTTACATATTGAGTACAGAAAGGAAAACAAACGGTGCCTACCTTGTGTGAGGGAGCAGCGATGGGCTCAGAGAAGGCGAAGAAAGGCAGAGCCAAGTTCATGAAGCCATTCTTGAATGATTCCAGCTTCTTGTGTCCTTGGATAATCTTGATGAGCTCTAGGCACACCAGGCCGACCACAGCTGCCGTGGTCGTGGCGATGGCAGGAATGATCTTGCCAGCGATCAGTTTGCTCTGTATTGGAGAAAGAACAAAGTTAAACTACTGTTTCAAGGAGCTACATTTGCAACCTGACAACGAAACTAAAAATGAAACTCAAAGCCATGAAAAGCAGTTCCCCACCTTGTGTCTGTCTGCAGGGGGAATGTCGTAGTTCTCTGCTCTCAGGTTGGATGATGCTACGATGAAGTCCATGTGGAAGTTGGTGTCATCATCCTGTTAACACGGGGCCACGACAGTCAGAAAAATAGAGCTACAATAAGTGCAGGTTATGTTTGCATTGAGGACTCGCAGCATATAAATAATTCCAGTTAAACACAGAGAGGTGAAAAGAACGTCTACCTTCTCAAAGTCAACAGCGCACAGTTTGAACGTGGAAGCCTCGGGGGAAGGCAGCTGGACCTTCAGGTCGTCCAGTCTAGAGTCATCTATGAAAAAAGAGCAGTTGCGAATGTGTCACAATGCATTCAAAATGACCCGACAACACCAGTAATTTGCCTAAACAACTCTTCGGCTGAAGATCTTAAAGTGTAATGCTTTAAATGATTTGTTGGTACATACATGTGTGCATCTTACCAACAGAGGAATTGCTGTTCTGCAGCTCCTGATCAGAGACGTGGATTTTAACCCCTGAACGAGGAGTGAAGGGGATCACTTTGACATCCTGCAAGATCTTGATCACACCTGCACGATCAGCGCTGCCTTTCAAGCCGTATGATTGGGCGAACAGGTTGGCTGCTGCCACTACATAATCCAGGTGCAGCTCCTATTAAACAAAGGTCATCGGTCAGTATCTCGAGAGGAGAGATAAGTTCAGAACATCTCAGAGATTGACATTAGAAAACCATACTTACATTGCTAGTGCTGAAGTCTAGGCCGTGAGGGCACCTCTTGGGGCCGGACCAGAAGGGGGCACCAGAGCTGGTGAGCTGAAGGCCACAAATAACAAATGAATACCACATGATCGCTGAGAAAGCATAACCAAGAAGTCCCATTTATAAATTCTCCTCAGCACACACTGATACCATCAGCGTGAGAAGCAGAGTAGCACTCAGTTACACCCAGGGTGCATCAGTATTAGCATGGCTAGATCATCATCGGAGAACAACAACATCTACTGCATTAGCTATAAACCATCCTCATTGCATCGGCCAATAAAGTGACGTGTGCAGATGGCAGTAGCCAGGGTTCATTGGTTTTGCTAGGCTATGTGACTTAGTAATGTTGCAGAGGTTTTTAATTTGATAAAAACAACAAAACGCCTGTGTTGTTTTTAAGGATTAGAACGATCAACCTTACCTTACTTATCATAACAATTACAGGTTATAGATGATGGTTGGTAAAACACAGTACTTTTTATCAGGTATGAAAAAGGTGACAAGGATCCGAGCCCCCGACCCCACGGAATATCGGCTTTAAAATGAGGAATAACAGGATGTTAGCAGTCAGAACAACTAAAGCAGCAGGTAATAATAACAGAAACGCTAAAGAGTCACATCTAATAGAAATACATTAGTTTATAATGTTGGCAGCACTGTTGAGCATTTTGAAAATGTATTTTCATGCCACTGTGCAAGGCTTAACTAACTAAGTTCATAAACTCAAGTACAATTTTGAGATACCTGTACTTTATTTAAGTATTTCAATGTTTTGCTACGTTCCGGACCGCACAGTTAATATTAACGAACGCACCCGTAGGTAATGTAGCTGCTGAAGCTAGACCATCATGGCGGAGCGGAGCCTCATCATACATCGATGAGCAGAGCCGACAGGCAGGAAGACTCGAGCACACAGCTCGCACCTCATTATAATATATAAAAAAGAACACCATGCGTGTCACGATGGCACACAACAGCTCGCGGTAGCAGATTACTCCGGGTCCCAGACCCCAAAAATATGTTTATTGCAGATCTTCACAAAAACGACCTATTTTGGATCCAAAACGGCGAATTTCGCCGAAAGGTGACAAGTTTGCATCCCTGTTTAATACTGAAAATCGTCTCCTTAAGTTGGTAACTGTATAGCAGACTAAAGAAGCTTTTGCAAGTTAATTTTTAAGAATGTTTGCGTGATGATGGCTTGAAAGGCAGTTTATATATTTTTTTATAATTACAATGTTCTGTTTCTCTAGCCCAAAAAGGGAATACAAAACAAAACCTAAGCAGTAAAACATCTGCTAACTTGTTATTCTAAACACCGGTACTGGCTGAAAAATGCAATCGTGGGTCCCCAGTCGGTACATTAGTGTTTTAAAAACGAAACTCTACACACCAGAGTTGACTTTTCAGGAGACTAAAACAAAGGCAATTTTACAAGCTGATAACATTGAGGAAAAAGCTAATAAATAATTAAGACAATTTAAATAAACACATAAATTACCAGGGCATATAGCTATGTTATGGCGCGTTTCCACTGCAGCGGGTAGCTCGCTTTAAGCGTGCCGAGCCGTGCGGGGCCCGTTTTTGGTTGCGTTTCCACTTGGCCTAGTTTTGGCCCGGGGCTACTTTTTCTCCTTTTTTCTGGCCCGACTAAATCGTGGTTCTAGGGCCAGGAACAACCAGGCTGAGTATGTTAAACTAGAGAGAGAATCGCTGGCAAGGGGGCTACAACTACAACAAGGTGAACATATTTGACCGTGATTTAATTGTAATACACGTTTCAAAATGATGCCGAAGTAACAACATACTGATACCGGTTAGTAAAAAACATGAATTAATGCTTTGACAAGTCTGCAGACAGACGGCAGGCGAAACACCTTTTAAAATGCGTGTTTTCTAAATGGAGCTTGGCTAAGCTAACGTTATATATGCTCCGACCGTCCACACTCACAACAACGGCCTATACAGACATAAATAAACCAGCGACTGTATTCGCCATGACACAGGCAGTCTGTGGTTTGTACTTGTTTAACTTTTGTCTAGTTTCTGAACAGATATGAAGAGCTGTGAGCTCTGAGTGCTAAGAGCTAACGGCTGTGTTGTTTTTCTGGGGCTCTCATTGAAGATGACGTCACGGCTCCGCCTACACTGCGTTACTATAGTAACTGCCCCAGTTCCTAAACTGTAATGGAAGCGCAGCATTAAAGTGAGCCGGGCCTAATAAGGCCTAACCAAACCGAGCGAGGCCTGCAGTGGAAACGCGCCATTAGAGTCCATATGAATGAGGTGAAAAACCCAGGACCAGAACACAAGCATTCCAATTGAACGGTTGTATTCATCGTGCAGAGAGCGGAATATGTACCTGCTCGGGGGGGAAGTTGTGCAGGAGCTGGCGGATGTTGTTGCTGTATTGGCACTGCCAGTGGTTGCGTGCCCAGGCGACGCAGTCGGCCCAGCTGTGGGGGCAGTCTGTGACGAGGCTCTTGTAAACGGCCTCCAGCACCTCCACAGGCTGAGCTCCGGGGAGCTTCAGAGTACGCTCCATGAATTTAGGATCTCTGCAAAAACAAGTCATGAAGAACCCTCATAAGATGGTTACAAACCAGGTAAGAGGCACCTGTTGTTCAATTTATTTTGTCCCATGAACGTATACGAGGTAAAACCCTATGACATTTTGTCAGCGTAACATTCTTTCAACCAGTTTAAAAATAAATGTTAATGTGGGATTTTGTCAAAAAAAATCCAACAACTATGGGGACCGTGCTGAGCTCGTTCACAGGTTGTAGATCAGTCATGAGGCTAGCTTTTCCAAGTACTGAAGAGATCAATAAGAAAAAACAAACACAGCTTAAACTAGTACTGCAAGATACAGTATTAAAAAAAACGTTCTTGATAAAAAAGCAGGTCATATGTATAGGTAACTACAGGGATATCATTGACACGTCGGGGAAGCTAACTCACGAGAGGTACTGTATGGAGTTCTCCGCTGGCTGTTTGAATAGTCCCTCGAACTCATCGCGGGCCCACTGCAGAGAGAGAAAACATTACTCCAACACTCAATTCATTAAATCACATTTACAGTACAAGTGTAAAACAAGAAACTGTTAGGTAGTGTTATCATCTCTGGCATAGCATTTTAATTATTTTTCCATTTAATCATATTGGGACACATTTTTAGAAATATTGCAGTTCTCATGTTTAATCATTAAATAATGATTTACAAAAGCTATGTCGGTAGACTATATTCAATATTTATTTACACATTTCATACGTTGTGCTCTACTGACCTGCAGTGTGTGTTCAATGGCATTAGGGAAGTTCTTGAGGGTGCAGATGGGGATGGACTTCTCAGGTGGGTCTTGGCTGGAGCTGTACGACTCTGTGAGGAAGGGGATCACGACCTGCACATTGCCTTTGGTACCCAAAGTACCGGACTCCAGTAAGGGTTTGCGGTAGTACACACACCTCCGATCCATGTACATACCTACACACCGGGCACAAACACAAGGCAGAAGAAATCGCATAAATAAAGAGGATGATGTTTGGTTTCAAGATCGTACATTTGATTTTATATAAAAGGAAGCAGTTCAAATAGAGTTGTGTTCCTTACGTGCGTCAACATTGTCCAGTGCATTTGTCACGCCATCAAGGCTCTCAAAGAAGTCGTCGTCGTAGACCCTCTCTGTGTCGGGGCCCACTCTGTTCTGGTGGCCTGTGATCCTGATGGAGGGGTTCATCTGCTTCACTGCAGCTGCAGCTGTGTCACTCTTCATTTTCTGTAACCACATACAAACAACATTTATTTATTTTCACTTTCATGAAAAATGACAACTAGCAGGTCCGCCAGTACAGTGATGCCTCTATCATTACTGACTTATGGAACGTACACAAATCTTTACATGGCTACCAGTACTAACGTTCCAACAATAGTTACGGCCTACAGCACTTGTTTTTTAAGGCTCCTCAAACCACAACTTTTTTGGAAACATGACCCGTGGCTAAACTGAGACAAGACTAGTCACTTATCAATAATAGTGTTCTTATACCTATCGGTCACTAAAAAAGGTACCGGCAATTGATTAAAACAATACACCGACAATGATTCATTTAATGTTTCCTCAGGATATTGTCCATCAACAGCATTTAACAGAAGTGCATTCAGGAGCAGCTACAATACACAAGAAATCCATATGCAGCACTGCCTGGAAATCTAAATCGATTTCCATATCTATCAACAGACCGGTTGATCAATATGGCGTAGATGGTACTGACCGTAACGTCGGAGGGTCTGAAGAGGAACTGTCTGTTGAGGTTGGACTTCTCGATGGTGTCCATGTCCGTCACAATGACCTCGCCCTTCCCGCACGCCAGTCCAATCATGGCAAAGTTTTTCAACAGCTCACAGCCAATGGCACCGGCTCCAACCTGAAATGATTAAAACCACATCCCCTCTGATTTATCCTTTCTTTCACAGTAGGAACATTTAATAATAAATGAATACCACATGATCGCTGAGAAAGCATAACCAAGAAGTCCCATTTATAAATTCTCCTCAGCACACACTGATACCATCAGCGTGAGAAGCAGAGTAGCACTCAGTTACACCCAGGGTGCATCAGTATTAGCATGGCTAGATCATCATCGGAGAACAAGAACATCTACTGCATTAGCTATAAACCATCCTTATTGCATCGGCCAATAAAGTGACGTGTGCAGATGGCAGTAGCCAAGGTTCATCGGTTTTGCTAGGCTATGTGACTTAGTAATGTTGCAGAGGTTTTTAAAATTTGATACAAAAAGAACAACCTGGAATGCTTAAAACCTCAGTGAGAAAAGCTACCTAGGTGTACTGTACTTTGGAATGAAAGGCTGAATACATTTCTTTTTGGGCTATAGAGATAATACTGGTTAGCAGATTTGATCAATTTTGGCTTTATAATGGGATTCTGACACAAAATAGAAATGATCCCCTGACTCTCTTAGCAACAAGATGTAAGAAGAGGTCCTGCAAAGTGTTTTTATTTGGCAGACTCACCAGGAAGTAGCGCTGTTTGCCAAGCATCTCCTGCAGCTTGGTGCCGAACACTGCAATCTGCCCGTCATATCGGCAGTTCCTCTGGGAAACAAGATAGAGCTCGTTAACACCACTATTTATTGCCACCATCATGAGCATCCTTCCTCAGTATAAGTGTGGGAAGCTGAACACTTACAGGGGCACACTCTTC